AAGGGGGAGTGGAGCTAGGGGTGAAGCAGGGGGTGTGTGTCAGGGGGGGTGGGACTGTTTGGGGAGGCTGAGAGGAGGCTGCCGTCTTGTCGTCCGCAGCACCTGTAGTCCGGGGCGCTGTCCTGGTAGCCCAGAGAGCCTGCTGCGCCTGTCGCCCGTGGGTCCGTTGCTCCTGTAGCTCAGTAGTTCCTGTAGTTCGGGCGGTACGGCTGCCAGCAGTTTCTGAAAATCGCTCGGTAGCCCGTGAGCCAGTTACTCCAGTAGTCCGGGGCGCTGTCCCGGTAGCCACTGTGCCAGCCGCTCCTGTTGCCCGTGTGTCTGCAGCTTCAGCCGTCGTCTCCCATCTTCTCTCCTCTCACAGTCCCTCCTCCTCCTCACTTGCCTGCTGTGACTACCACTAGCTTTGCTCATAATTGTGAACTACTGCTATGCTTGCTCATTGTGCTGATTACACCCCACTTTGGCTATGGGAGTGTGTCAGAATGTTATAATTGTCTAGCCTGCAGTGGGGTACTCTATAGCGAGTACAACCCAATTAGGGTTTCCTATATGTACGCCAACTGCTGCTAGTGCAACCCCTCCTTTCTTCATTCTTACTTTCTACTGCTAGTTTCGTCATGTTTGAGTCTTGGGGCCAAGTTTGCCACCTTGCCGCCGCCGAGCCTGAGGGTTGAGGAGGACATAGGCGGTGCACCCCCAGACGCGAAGAGAGCGAGCAGTGGGTGTTTTCCTGAGCCAGAGCGCGGTGGGAGTGGTATCGGGGAGATGCGGGTGGGGATTAGATTGTAGAGGAGGGCGGCATGGTAGAGGGCATACCCCCAAAGCGAGAGTGGTGCGTGGGAGTGGCTGAGGAAACAGCGTGTGATTTGTACCAAGGTGTGATTACGGCTCTCCGCTACGCCGTTTTGCAGCGGGCTGTCAAAAAGGGTGAAGTTTTGCAAAATGCCGAGGGAGGAGCAGAAGGTTTCAAGTTTGGTGTAGCAAAATTCACCACCACCGTCCGAATGGAGGCGCTTGACCTTGGTGCCAAAGGTGGTATGTGCCTGGTTAACCCATGCCATGATGGCCTCTGGAGCGTCAGCCTTAGTGTGGAGGAGGTGCACAGAGACGTAGCGAGTGTGGTCATCAACTTTCAAAAGGAAGTAGCGATGGCCACCTCGTGCGGCAACCGGGGCAGGGCCCCAGACGTCCATGTGTACTAGATCCAGTGGGGCTGCTGCTACTGAGGGTGATGCAGGGTGGGGCTGTTGGCGTAGCTTGCTCTTGGTACGGTCAAGGCATGTGGGAGCGGGTGAGTCAGGTAGTGGAGGAAGTGAGGCAGGCAGGCCGAGAAGAAGCTTCTTGGAGGCCACGTCAGCAAGCGTGCGGAAGTTTGGGTGCCCGAGCCGATGGTGGTAGAGAATGGTCGGGTTAGAGAATCTGCGACATGAGCATGGTGTGATAGCAGTCTGTGCTTGAGTGGTTGACACCTGTGGGATCGGTACACGCAGCGTGTAGAGGCCGCTGCTGTTGAGGGTGAAGCGAGCTAAGACTTTGTTGGTGAGTGGGTCGATGACGTCACAATAGTCCTCGTACTCTGAGATTATGGTGCGGAGCCCAGCCTTCTGAAGTTCTTGTTGAGCCAATAGATTGTGGCGTAGTGAAGGCACGCACATGCCAGTGACAGTGCCGGATGGGAAGGCGGGGCACGGGACAGTGGACGAACCCTTGGCAAGAGTGGTGAAGCTCGAATCAGCTCCCAAGAGAGGAATGGGTGTAGAGTAGGGTTTGAAGGAGAATGTCTCCTTGAGCACAGTGTGAGTGGCCCCGCTGTCAAGTGTGAATTCTATGTATTGTGGTGCTTGTGATGAGCCGATGTACTGCAAGCTTGCTTCATTAATCATGGCAGTGCCAGTGAACAGCAAGTTGATACGCACATCAGCAGGAGCACTATCACTAGCACTAGCAGAAGCGGGATCCTGGACCTCAACTAGGTTAGCCTTACGAGAGCGCATCCAGTTTGGCGGCTTCTTGTCGACTCCGTGGATGGCATACCATTCGTCGTCTTTCTTCTTGAAGCACGTAGCGAGGGGGTGGTTAGTGCCACCACACACTTGTCCCTTGCGGTTGCCATATTTGACGACGTAGGTGCACGGAGGGAAGCGGTTGCGCTGGAAGGGTGCCGAGGCGACACTTGCTCGAGGCACGGGAGCACGGAGGGCGTAGGCCTTGGCTTGGGCCGTGGAGTCTTTCTCGACAGAGAGGAGGGCAGAGGAGACCTTAGCAAATGTGAGGTCTTCCGCTGAGGATGTGAGGAGCATCTTCCCCGTGACTTCGTATGCCGAGGTGAGGCCAACTAGAGGGGCGGCTGCAGGAGCTTATTCGGGGAAGACTATACCCAGCTCCTTGAGTTCGCCATGAATGGTCTGCACCTTGGCAATGTAGTCGGCCATTCCCGAGCAATCCTCGAGGCGGACCTGGAACATGCTGGGGATGAGGATAGCAACTCCGACTGCCGTTTTGTTCATGAAGCAATCCTGGAGATGCTTCCAAATGGCGTTGGAGGTGGTATAGTTGTGGAAAGTGTTGACAAGTTCGGGAGGGGTGGAGCCGATGAAGACGCTGATGATAGCAGCATCGGCCTTCTCCCATTTGCGGTGTTTGTCAGCAGCATCCTCGTACGCCCTCATGTCAGCATCACTTGCAGAATCGGTCGGCTCAATGGGGAGAGGGGGCTGTTTTCCCTTGCCACGGTTGAGAATGACGTCTTTGAGGTCCAATCTCTGCACGTCACGACTCAACAGGTGCTTGTCAACCCCGTAGGTCCATGCCTTGAAGTTGGAGCTAGAGCCGTAGGCTTCAAGGCGAAGCGGGGTGATGGGGTTGCTGAGGGTGGACGAGGTGAAGGCCATGATGAGGACCCCTTGGGTCTCGCGCGAAGCGCCGTTCTTAAGTCGCCGATAGGAACTTGAGGTTTAGGATTTCCGAAGGAGAATTTGAAGAACTTGGGGTTTCGGGTTTACGAAAGAGAATTTTGAGGTTTAGGGTTTCCGAAGGAGAATTTGAGGGAAACGCCGATTTTAGAGCTGTCGACTAACTGCTAACCCTGGTCCCCCCCCCTCCCGGCCCTGTCCCTCAGCTTCGCGGCTTCGCTGCTACACGGCTGCTCGGCTGCACCTGTTCAGCTGCGGGGCGATAGAAGTGCCGTTGCGGGGCGACGGGCGTCAGCCCTTAGGTGACGCTGCAGGGCGACGGGCGTCAGCCCTTAGGTGACTCTGCAGGGCGACGGGCGGCAGCCCGATGAGAAGCTGCAGGGCGATGGGCGACGGCCCGACGAGAAGCTGCAGGGCGACGGGCGACGGCCCGACGAGAAGCTGCAGGGCGACGGGCGGCAGCCCGAAGATTGACGAGATGAGAGGAATAGGGTTACGCCGAAGCGAGAAGAACAGCGGGACAGAACCGCCGTGAATGGCGAGCAAGCGCTAGTGACGGTTACCTTTATCGAAGTGCAGAAACCGATGCACCGTGATTGCGGAAAAGGTAGCACGAGAGAAAAACAGTCCACGGAAGATGTCGCGAATCACGGCGACGAGGACGGCGCGGGAGAAATTCCGGCCGGGAAGATTAGGTCGATGACGACTCTTGACGTCGAGCGATGAATGTTGACGGCGGCTTCGCCTAGGAGTGCGGGAGAGGATTCCGCAAAGGTAATAGGATCAAGATCCGCGTGTGCGGTTGAATCGCTCTGATACCATGTTAAAACTTGAGCTTAGAATCCATACATTAGTAATGAGTAGGGGTGAGCAAAGAAACGAACACCTGTTCGGTTCGCCTCGAACATGTTTGAGGCGAACCGAACAGGTTTGTTTTTTTTGTTAAAGTGTTCGTGACAAACGTGTTCGAGGTTCGCCCGAACACGTTCGTGTTCGGGGCGCTGCTGCAATTTGCCCCGCGTCGAACACGAACGTGTTCGAGGTTCGCCCGAACACGCCTTCACAGGCGAACACCGAACACCCTTTTTGGCTAAAAGTGTTCGCCGAACCGAACACTGTTCGGTTCGGCGAACGGCTGTGTTCGTGCAGGGGCGAACACAAACACGTTCGTGTTCGCCCCTTGCTCACCCCTAGTAATGAGCTCAAGGCTCTTTAAGTACATCGGAAATGGGCAAGGTTAAGGGTGGGGAGAGAATCGGGGGCAATCCTAGGGGATTGGGGGTAATTCTAAGGCAATCTCCAATTGGTGGGTTAGAGATTACTTGGAGATCACATTTGGGTTTGGTTGGGATGTGGGTGTACACCCAACCAAACACAAAGTGCACACTACACTAGGATATAAAACTGCAAGTACACAATGTGAGATTGAGGGCTAACACTAACAACTTTCCCTAGTGAAACTCTTGCCAGATTGCTCTGTGAACGCAAAAGTGTTAGAGAACGCTAAGGAATGCTACGATCACTCCTAGAGCCCATGCCTCCCCGTAGTCCAGCTCCCGCTCTTTGTGACAAAAGAGTGTGGTGTTTGTGACTAAGGAGTGTGGTGTTTGTGACTAAAGAGTGTGGTGTTTGTTGCGGCAGCCCACCAAAACAGGTTTGCTTGTACGAGGCACAAAGACGTCTACGTGGTGCACAGCAGCGCAGTTGTGCACAAACAGCACACGCCTATTAGGGGGAAACGCTGTAAACACTCACAAAGACGGAGAGCGCAGGGCGGGCAGAGGAGGGGAGGTAACAGCTTGGAGGACAGGCGCATGGAGATACAACAAGTGGACGGGTGGGTGGGCGCGGTTGGGGATGGAGGTGATACTGTCGGCCGGTTGGGTATGAGCGAAGGCCGAGCACGAACGTGCTCAATTCGAACATGCCTCGAACACGTCTGTTGAGCCGACCCAACATGTTCGGTTCGAACCAAACACATTCAGGGAGAGGTGTTCGGGTGTTCGCCTTTATAAGTGAACACCTTCATGTTCGCCTCGAACATGTTCGTGTTTGAATATTCAGCAGCAGTTTAAGGCACCCGAAACCCTAATCCGCCAATGTCATAGGCAAGCCCGCAAGAGACTGCCGCAAATGGGCATGAGCCAGAACGGGATCCGTGAGTTGAAGGACAACGGATTCAGTTTGCCCTCTCGCTAGAATAGAGATCTTCACGATTCCTGCTAGTCGTTTCTCTAGACTATGTCATGCACCCTTTTGTGCCATCCTTAGACTAGTTTAGATCAGGAGGGTGTGTGTGGGCGAACGTGTTAAACTAGATCAAAACTATGCTTAACTGCTGTTTCTAGTAGGCTAGGTTGTAGGAAGGAGAAGGTACCGAGGTCGAGCTAAAAAATGATGTAAAATGTGTTCGTCACATGTTCGTGTTCGACGCGGCTCGGCCAGCCACGACGAACCGAACACGAACAAGTTCAACCCAAACACAAAGGGCGAAAAAAAGCACCCGTTCAGTTCGGTGTTCGGCTTTTTGCTCGAGCATGCTGTCGACGGGGATATGGAAAGAACAAGTTAGTGATGTTACCTTGAAGCGCCTTGTGATGCCACGTTGCACCACCCGGTTGCCACACATCTCGCTGCATCCGCACTTGACAAAGCACTCCTTGATAAACGTGCGCACGGGATGCCCGGGGCATGCCACACACGCCTCAAGGGCGCTCGCAGGAAATTTCCTCAGCGTCACTGGCGCAGGCACATCCGCGGGCAGGTGGTGTTGGGGCATGGCATCCATGGCGTGCTTCAGCTGCGCTGCATTCACGGGGCACAACAGCAAGCGCTCACGACCACAGAACTGCTTGTTGCCCCGCCTCTCCGCCTCCTCGCCCTGCTCCACCTCCATCTCCACCTTCCTCAAGAAGGCGTCCGTGAGAGTGCCATCCCTCGTGTACGCCCAGTTGCCCCGCAGTGGCTCCGTGCATTCACACCGGATGTGGCCCATGCAGTCCCCTTGGCAGCCCTCACAGAACGTGTCGATGCGATCCAACGCGCTGCATGGCAGCCACAGGTACACTGTACATGTTAACTCCTCGCTCCACCAATCACGATCGCGCATATCCACAATGACTAGTAAGCTTACCCATCTTTCATGGTTGGATTTTGTTGACATAATAATGGAAAGCAGATGAGAGCTCACATGACGAATTTCACTTTGTGGCTGGCCGGCCAGCTCTTCCTCATGTACATCCACGTGGCGGGCGGCTGCTCGTGGCTGTGCTCGTTCACCCACGGGATGGGCACCGCCTCCTTGCCCCGCGAGATGTCCTCTCGCGGGGGAACCACCCTGCGCCCCCCCCTCGCCCTGCCCCTCGCCCTCCTTCCAACCCCACGTCCCCTTGTGCCCCCTAAGTGGCCTCTTCCTCTTCCGCCTGACCCCTCGCTTGCTCCCCCAAGCAAGCTTGCTGCTGCAGCCGGTGCGGCACTGCCATCCCCAGCGCGGTCAGCGGCAGGGGACTGAGCGTCGTCGCGCACGCAGGGGGGAGTGCCAGCAGTGCCAGTGCGTGCAGCATGCGCCTCCCTCGCACTGCCCTCCGCTACTTCCCCCACCCCCGCACTGGCCCCTACACTACACGCACCCACACCTGCCTGCCCTCTTATGAGCTGCTCCTCGCTCCAATCCCCCTTCTCTACCTCCTCCCTTCTTTGCACATGCCCATGCCCGACGCCACCAGCACACTCACGCCTGTCGCCACACACGCTCTCCCGCCCTCGCCCATGCACATGACCCTCCGCCCCCCCCTGCCCCCTGCCGCTCCCCTCGCTCGCTCGCAGCAGCAATCCACTTGCCAGCCCTTTCTGGCCAATCACAGTGCTTCCCGCCCTTCCCACCGGCTCTGCCAAATCCCTGGCTGCCTCCCCCTCCCCCAACCACCTCCTTCCCCTCCCTTCTCCCCGTGCCCCTCGCCCCATGCCCCTCGCTGCACCCCCTCCTCCCAAGTCTCGCCAAGCCGCCACACTAGCAGCCGCGCGCATCACGCTGGGCGCAGCAAGGGGCGCTCTGCCTGCCGGGGGCCATGGCGACGGCGAGGCAGCATGGGGGGCGGCACTGCACGCCCCTTGCCTGCGCCCCTCCACACCCCCTGCCCTCTCTCCCCGCCGCTCACCCTCTCCTCCTCTACCACTCTGCCCCTCCCCGTGCCCCCTGCCCCTCTGCCCCACATCCCTCCCTGCCACACCACTCTCAGCCCCCACCCTCCCTAACCCCCCGCGGCTGCACAGCCGGGCCATCTCCCTCTCTCTCACCCTGCGCTCCATCTCCCTTCGCCTCTCACTCTCCCTCCCACCTCCCTGCTCCACCCACGCATCTGCCAACAATCCCTCTCCTCCTCCTCCTCCTCCTGCTCCTCCTCCCCCTCCCTCCTCTCCCTCTCGGGTGGGCGAGAGGGGCGTGGTGGGTGCTGGGCAGGGGAGCTGATAGGCTGGAGCGAGCGGCTGGGGGGAGGCGAGGGGAGGCTGACAGGAGGCGAGGGGATGCTGGGGGAAGGTGACGGGAAGGTGAGTGGAGGTGGGAGGAAGGTGAGAGGAGGTGGGGGGAAGGTGAGTGGAGGAGACGGGAAGATGAGTGGAGGTGGGGGGAAGGTGAGGGGAGGTGAGGGGAAGGTGGGGGGAGAGTACAGGTTGCTGGCAAGCGGGATGGGGAGCGTTGATAGTGGCGTGGGTGATGTGAGCAGTGGGGGGTTGGGCACCAGCCAGGGGATCGGCAGCGAAGGAGGGATGGGCGGCAGCGGGGGGGTGGGCGGCAGCCGGTGGATGGGCGGCAGCGGAGGATTGGGCGGCAGCGGGGGGGTGGGCAGCCACGGGGGGGTGGGAGGCAGCGGGAGGATGGGCGGCAGCGGGAGGATGGGCGGCAGCGGGAGGATGGGCAGCACCTGCAGGGCAGAGGGGATAGGTGAGGAAGGATGGTATATCTCAGCATAAAAGGACCCCGCCCAGCGGGAATCGCTGCCCGGGGGCAAAAAAAATAAACCCTCTACGGAATGGCATGCAACTTTCGTCGGCATCAACCCTATATACCTTGCCGCATGGTGTTTAGGGTTGATGCCGCCCCAAAAGGCATGCATTTCCTAGAGGGTTTGGTTTTTTTTGCCCTGGGCAGTTTGACGAATGCAAGAGCGTCAACCTTTTGGCGTTGACACAGGCAAAACGGAGTGTCAACGTCTGTTCCGTTGAGATATACAGGCATGGAAGGGGGATGAGCACTGATTTGAGCGGAACAGGTGTGGGCAGCACAGTGAGCAAGTAGGCATGAGCACGTACTGAACCCGAACCGCTTCGAGTCAAACCGGGTTGAACCGTAACGGTGGGTGAGGTCGAGGTTCAAGTCCGACCTCCCGCGGTTGTACTCCAGACGGTTCGATCCAAACTGGTTCAGTTTGACTGTCAGTTATATTGGTGGTGAGTGGGACGGACGGGATTGGGGGAGTTCCAATCGTTCTTCTATCATAGCGATGGCGTCTGCAAGATGTGCTGTGAGGTGGATTTGAATGCACGTAGGAATTTTAGCAACAAAATCATACCCCTATTCGGTGTTTGAAGGCGGACTTTCATACCCAAACATCGAACGCTTCAACTGCCAATAAATGCTTGACCCGGATCGGGTTTCAACCATGTTCGAGTTGAACCTGTTTGGGTTTGTCTTTTGCTCATGCCTACTGGGGTTGACCTATGTGCGCGACCCAAGCCGTCCCATGTCACTTCTTCGTCGCGCCGATGCAGGACATAGTGGGTGCGAGTGGGAAATGAAGATCCAACCTGGGCCCATTCATTAGGTTGGGGTTGGCAATGGCTGGCGTGGACAATCTTTCGAGCCCATGAACCTGAGCTCGCTTTGACAAGGATAGCTGGACCCCAACTGATTCCTCCAACCCAACTTACTAGTGCATTGCGTCCAAACCTCTGGGCTAAATTAGCAACCAAACCACCCACAAGTATGCTTACCTTCCAACAACATAGTCCAGACATCCTTTCGGCTTCTAGTTTTCAACTCTTTGAGGCTCGCATTGGCCGGACAAACTAGAGTATGCGCCGTTGCTGCCATTGCGATTAGAGAGTATAAACAGGGTCAATCAAAGCTCGTGTCTCAGATGCTGAACACGCAAGTAGCCGCTTGGTTGCAGACATGGCAGTGATGGCAGTGATGGCAGCAGAGTCAAAGAATAGTCACTCCACACGCCCATCTCAAAGAATAGTCACTCCACACGCCCATCTCAAAGAATAGTCACTCCACACGCCCATCTCAAAGAATAGTCACTCCACACGCCCATCTCAAAGAATAGTCACTCCACACGCCCATCTCAAAGAATAGTCACTCCACACGCCCATCTCAAAGAATAGTCACTCCACACGCCCATCTCAAAGAATAGTCACTCCACACGCCCATCTCCCCCACCTCCTCTCCCACATCACCGTTTGCTTACCTGTCTGCTCTCCCGCCACTTCTCGCTCCGCATCCCCTCGCATGCCTTCCTCTTCCACTCCTCCCACCCTGCCACCCATTCCATCACCTTCCCCCATCCGCACCTCCTCCCGCACCTCCTCATCCCCCCTGCTCATCTTCCGCACCTCCTCATCCCCCCTGCTCATCTTCCTCATCTCCTCACCCTGCTCCCCTCGCTTCTCCCCCTCCCCACTTTTCCTCCCCTTCCTCTTCTTCTCTCCCCCCTCCCCCACTGCCCTCCGCGCCTGCTTCTGTCGGCGGCGCTCAATGTGGCGGGCGATGCGCGCCTGCAGGTCGGGGTCCAGCTCGTCCTGCATCGCCTCGTCTGCTGCCACCTGCCGGACACGACAGCACACCAACCACATGCATGCCACGGCCATGCACCACGGCCATGGGCGCAGGGGGGTGAGGGGATAGGTGAGTGGCCATGCCGAATGGGGATGAGGGGATAGGTGAGTCGCCATGCCGAATGGGGATGAGGGAATAGGTGAGTGGCCACGGGCGCATGCTTGCGCACGGAGAGAGGGGAGGAGAGTTGAGAGAGGGATGGAGGGAGGAGAGTTGAGAGAGGGATGGAGGGAGGAGAGTTGAGAGAGGGATGGAGGGAGGAGAGTTGAGAGAGGGATGGAGGGAGGAGAGCTGAGAGAGGGATGGAGGGAGGAGAGTTGAGAGAGGGATGGAGGGAGGAGAGTTGAGAGAGGGATGGAGGGAGGAGAGTTGAGAGAGGGATGGAGGGAGGAGAGTTGAGAGAGGGATGGAGGGAGGAGAGTTGAGAGAGGGATGGAGGGAGGAGAGTTGAGAGAGGGATGGAGGGAGGAGAGTTGAGAGAGGGATGGAGGGAGGAGAGTTGAGAGAGGGATGGAGGGAGGAGAGTTGAGAGAGGGATGGAGGGAGGAGAGTTGAGAGAGGGATGGAGGGAGGAGAGTTGAGAGAGGGATGGAGGGAGGAGAGTTGAGAGAGGGATGGAGGGAGGAGAGTTGAGAGAGGGATGGAGGGAGGAGAGTTGAGAGAGGGATGGAGGGAGGAGAGTTGAGAGAGGGATGGAGGGAGGAGAGTTAAGAGAGGGATGGAGGGAGGAGAGTTGAGAGAGGGATGGAGGGAGGAGAGTTGAGAGAGGGATGGAGGGAGGAGAGTTGAGAGAGGGATGGAGGGAGGAGAGTTGAGAGAGGGATGGAGGGAGGAGAGTTGAGAGAGGGATGGAGGGAGGAGAGTTGAGAGAGGGATGGAGGGAGGAGAGTTGAGAGAGGGATGGAGGGAGGAGAGTTGAGAGAGGGATGGAGGGAGGAGAGTTGAGAGAGGGATGGAGGGAGGAGAGTTGAGAGAGGGATGGAGGGAGGAGAGTTGAGAGAGGGATGGAGGGAGGAGAGTTGAGAGAGGGATGGAGGGAGGAGAGTTGAGAGAGGGATGGAGGGAGGAGAGTTGAGAGAGGGATGGAGGGAGGAGAGTTGAGAGAGGGATGGAGGGAGGAGAGTTGAGAGAGGGATGGAGGGAGGAGAGTTAAGAGAGGGATGGAGGGAGGAGAGTTGAGAGAGGGATGGAGGGAGGAGAGTTGAGAGAGGGATGGAGGGAGGAGAGTTGAGAGAGGGATGGAGGGAGGAGAGTTGAGAGAGGGATGGAGGGAGGAGAGTTGAGAGAGGGATGGAGGGAGGAGAGTTGAGAGAGGGATGGAGGGAGGAGAGTTGAGACGCGGAAGGCGACCTCACAGCTATGTTGCGGAAGACGCGTCTAGCGTCTTAGACGGTTGCGTCTAGGCGCAGCGTCTAAGACGCTAGACGCATTTCAGGCCCGATTAGACGCATATTAGACGAAACCCCGGGCAGGCCAAAAAAATAGTACGGGCAGCCTAAAAAACCTTCTATAGGCCATGGGGAGGGGGAGGGGGAATGGGATGAAGACGACCTCTGGGTATAGCAGACGAATTAGGCTGCTGGGACATTCATCGAGATCTAGAACTTCTAGATCTAACATTGACGCTCACAATTTCATATCTCAATTTGGTTGGGTTTTCTAGATTCAGTGCGGTGAAGATCGGTAATGGGAGGGGGAATTGGTTGGTCACGAAATGGTTCACAAATCTGTTGGCTGCGGGGGACGAATTCCAATTTCGACTTAGCTTTCCGTTTCTCAATTTCTCTCACACCTCCTCCGATGCTTCTTCTAGAACGTCTTTATTTGGCCGGCTCATTGTAGAGCAGAGGCGTGCAACACTTTAGTCCTAGCTGCTGATACTATTATGGGGGGTGGGGCTAAAAGCTAGGTTTGGGGGATGTTATCAAGGTCGAAATGGGTGGGAGGGGTTGAAATTTCGCGCGCGCGATTTTTTTTTCCGGGCTGACCGAAAATTTCCCCCCCATGCGTCTAGCGTCCCCCCTCACCTGCTCGTGCTCCCCTCACCTGCTCGTGCTCCCCTCACCTGCTCGTGCTCCCCTCACCTGCTCGTGCTCCCCTCACCTGCTCGTGCTCCCCTCACCTGCTCGTGCTCCCCTCACCTGCTCGTGCTCCCCTCACCTGCTCGTGCTCCCCTCACCTGCTCGTGCTCCCCTCACCTGCTCGTGCTCCCCTCACCTGCTCGTGCTCCCCTCACCTGCTCGTGCTCCCCTCACCTGCTCGTGCTCCCCTCACCTGCTCGTGCTCCCCTCACCTGCTCGTGCTCCCCTCACCTGCTCGTGCTCCCCTCACCTGCTCGTGCTCCCCTCACCTGCTCGTGCTCCCCTCAACTGCTCGTGCTCCCCTCACCTGCTCGTGCTCCCCTCACCTGCTCGTGCTCCCCTCACCTGCTCGTGCTCCCCTCACCTGCTCGTGCTCCCCTCACCTGCTCGTGCTCCCCTCACCTGCTCGTGCTCCCCTCACCTGCTCGTGCTCCCCTCACCTGCTCGTGCTCCCCACTGAGCATCCACTCCACGAATTCCTCCGCTGCTGCCCCCACGGTGACCTCCACCCCCCGTTCCTCCACCATCTGCTTCAGATCGCTCCGCTTCAGCTGCCATGTGCCATGTGCCATGTGCCATGTGCCATGTGACGCACGCGGGTGTCATGCACGTGCATGAGGAGTGGGGAACGTGGTGAAGAAGGCGGGCGGGGTTGGCGGGGAGGGTTGGGAGAACGCATGAAGAGAGTGGAAACAGATCACAAGGGAGTCGATGCGTGCAGATGGATGGGCATGCAAGCAGAGCGAGCTTGTTAGATTGTTCTATTCTGGTACAACGTTTTGACGCTGTCACGGAGCGCACCTGCATGAAGAGCGCACGTGCATGAAGAGCGCACCTGCATGAAGAGCGCACCTGCATGAAGAGCGCACCTGCATGAAGAGCGCACCTGCATGAAGAGCGCACCTGCATGAAGAGCGCACCTGCATGAAGAGCGCACCTGCATGAAGAGCGCACCTGCATGAAGAGCGCACCTGCATGAAGAGCGCACGTGCATGAAGAGCGCACCTGCATGAAGAGCGCACCTGCATGAAGAGCGCACCTGCATGAAGAGCGCACCTGCATGAAGAGCGCACCTGCATGAAGAGCGCACCTGCATGAAGAGCGCACCTGCATGAAGAGCGCACCTGCATGAAGAGCGCACCTGCATGAAGAGCGCACCTGCATGAAGAGCGCACCTGCATGAAGAGCGCACCTGCTTTTTTTAAATAGAAGGCTTTTCACTATATCAGGGATACAGCAAAAGGGGCCAGAGTCGTAACTGTTGCATGGAGGGGGGCAATTACACACAGTGAGAGAGCCGCCCCTCAAGAGCATCTACGGTGGCTTGAATCTGGCCCTTCGGTCTGTCCAGATGGAAAGGAATTCATCGCGCCACGTAAGCCTGCTGGCCATCCTCGTGTTGACATTTTCCAGCGCAGCGACCTCATCTTTGGCCAGAAGCTGCTTGGCCACGTGTCTCTTCTTAACCCACGCCTTCCTTCGCTTGATGCCCTCATACGTCCGTGCATGAAGACAGAAAGCAGTCACGATTCTCCTCATCACCTTCCGGCATTGGAACTTCCGCCCCCTGAAGACCGCGTTGCACCGTTCAACCCAAATCTGATGAAATGTGATTGCCGATACCGTCAGCTCCGGAAAACCGGAAGCTGTCCCCCCACGTTGGAATAACAGATCGCCAAGTGTCCTTGCCCTCCTCGCTGGATTGAACCAGCGAATCGCATCTTTCAGGGCCCCCACCACAGGTTGGATGACACGGCAGGAGAACAGCGCATGATCCACTGACTCCGCCTCCCCGCAGTGCGGACACCTTGCCCGCTCCCCCAAAAACTTCAGTCGGTCCCCCACTTGAAGATTGAAACAGTGGGCACGCAGCAGGACGTCCCGCGCCCTTGCGGGAATGACATGTGAGTCCCTGCGCGCAATCGCCCGCTTCCAGTCGACCTTCCTCCCCCACAGGCGCTCCCACTCAGCACGGCGAGGGAGCTTGTCCGGCTGCTTGCGTCTCACCCCCAAACCTTCTCTCAGTTGCTTTAGCGGGGCTGCTAGCCTACCCACGCAGAGTTCTGACCGTAGAAGCCTGACGCGCGGCTCGCCTAGCTCCCCGGCTACCTCATCTCCCACCGCTGCCATCGGCGTGACCTCTGACACGGATAGCGTCTTAACTCTCGCCCCTTCCAGCACAAGCCATGACTTCCCGCCTTCACGCTGGCGCATCCTCGTGCAGTGGAGCAGATTGCCAGAGATTTTATGAATCCACCACAGCTGCACTCCTCTCCCCGTCGTCCTTACAACCCTCGTAGCGTTCACCACCTCCTCCGCCGTGAGCGGCTTCAGGATCCGCTCCTTCCAGTCTTTACGCAGCGCCTCCATAATGTCTGCGGCCACCTCTGCCGCCTGTTTGCTGCCCAGGTCCCGCGCCAAACGCTCCGGTGACTTCCGACTTCTTGTGCCATCTGCCCACTTCAGGAGCAGATCCCCCACCATAATCTCGCGAAGTCCTTCATCGCCCTTCCGCCTCCCAAAAGGGTAACTCCCGTCGCGCAGGATGTGCCTTTAAAAAAGCACCCGCTCTTTCTCGATGTCCCATCTGCTTCCGGCTTCCAGGTTCCTGACGACCGGCGACGACATCGCTGCAGCTGTAATCGCCTTCCACCTTTCACTCCCCGTTCCCCACGCCTTCAGCAGTGCCTCGTGCGCAAGGAAGGAGGCATAGCCCAGCGGGAAATTCGCCGCTTGCTCCGCCAATAGCTTCCGCTGCGGCATTTCCTCCGTGAGCAGCACTGCCAGCGAATGGAGTGCCTCCGCGTCCAGCCGGTCCTTGAGATTGATGACTCCCAGACCCCCCTCCTCCCTTTTGAGTTGCAAGAGCGCACCTGCATGAAGAGCGCACCTGCATGAAGAGCGCACCTGCATGAAGAGCGCACCTGCATGAAGAGCGCACCTGCATGAAGAGCGCACCTGCATGAAGAGCGCACCTGCATGAAGAGCGCACCTGCATGAAGAGCGCACCTGCATGAAGAGTGGCAGCTTCTGGAGGGCGTCGTGTCGGTTGAAGCCCATGCCGTCACACACCGCCGCCAGCACCGCCTCCTCCACCTCCGCCTGCCACGCCTCCCCGCCCCTCCCGTCTCCCCCTCCTTGCATATCCCCCCCCTCCCTCCCCCCCTGCGTGTGCGACGCCATGCACACCCACCGAAGTCGCGCCTCCACGGCTGTCCGCACTGCTTGGCGGCGGCGCACTCGCACTGCACCTGCGCGCCCAGCGCCGCTCGTGCTGGCAGGCGGCACTGCTGGACGGGCGGATGGCCGCGGCGGAGTGCGAGGGGCGGGAGGGTGCGGGCGCGCAGTGGAGAGTCGGCGTGGTGGGCGCGCACGCGCGCAGGCAGGCAGCTAGCGAGGGCGGGGAGCATCGAGTGGAGCAGCGCGGTTAGCAGCGCAGGCGAGGCGGGTCGCAGGGCAGGCGAGGCGGGTCGCAGGGCGGCGGCGAAAGGGAGGGCAGATAAGACGTGGGAAAGTTCGAAACGGGAGAGAGAAGGCGAAACGCAAAAACGTGAAAATGCGGGTCTGAGTAAGGGGGGGGGAGGGGGTGTCTGTTCTGGGGTTGAAAACTGCTTCGTAAATGATAGTACACAAGGGACATTGCGCGACTAGTTTTTTTCGCTTGGTATCCCACACGGTTTACTGCCTGCAAATTGTCGTGAACTATCGCTAACTCTCGTTTACTGTGCAGTTTTGTTATGGGGCAACACTCGATGTTGGGATTCATGGGGAAAATATGCGAATGGTAACATACATGGGGCTTTATCACGCGTAAGGTAAGTGTTATGAGGTGTTAAAGAGAGTGCGTGGGATAACAAATAACAAGAGTGTGACTCAATGAATTGATTGTACAATGAAGGCACGCGCTAATATAGTGACTACCCTAGCTAGGAGGGAACCTCGGGAAAACGAGGTTGCGTGCAGGTTGGGCGATCGGAAAGCCGAAGGCGACGCGGGTCAGCCTCGGCATCGTGGATGTCGGCCGAACGTGCTGAATCCGAATTGTCGGGGTTGTACGCGTAGCAGTCAACCCCAGTAAAGAATAAGGAGCATTCCTTACACTACCCCCCCCCCCCCCCCCCCCCTTTAAGAAAGGTGGTCAATATCCGCAACTCGCTTGCGGTCGAAATAATCACCAAGAAGTGGGGAAGCTTCAAGCGATGCGGATGGCACACACGTGTCAACCTCACTGGTGCGGTCAGTCAAACGGACTAAAAAGTCCACGTGGCGGCCAGAGGCATCGAGCCGAATACGATGCGCCAAAATCTTCGACGGGTCGGATGTCGGTTCCGGGACAGATCAAGCTGTCGAGGCGGCGTTTTGGCGCGCGATGTCTGTCGTGGCAGGCACGAACTTGCGAAGGAGGCTGACATGGAAGGCGTCGTGTATATGACAGTCGTCTGGTAGCAGCAGCTTCGCGGTGACAGGTGCCACCATCTGGATGATGCGAAAAGGCCCACAAAATCGTGGTCGTATCTTGTTCGAGCCGGGCAGGCATAGGTTTTTCGTGTCGAGTAGCACTAGTTGCCCAGGCGTCAGGATGATTTCTCGTCGCAGGAGATCCGTGTATTTCCGGCAGTAGTGTTAGCCTTGCGAATTGCGTCGGCTGCTTTCTCGCGAATCTTCTGAAGTTCTGTTCCAAATGTTTGTGACCGTGAGACCGGGTTGTCGAGTGTAATCGTGGTTGGCACCACCGGGTCCATCCCGTAATTCAAGAAGAACGGGGAGTGATTAGTCGTGCTAGACGGTGCGTTGTTGAACGCGAACTCCAGCATGGCGAGTGAAGTTTCCCAGCGAGCGGGGTCGGGGCAGTTTGTCCTGATCAGCTGCTCCATCGTCTGATTGGTCCGCTCGGTCTGGCCATCGGTTTGCGGGTGGTATGCCGACGAGAACTGTAGTTTCGTGCCGTACTGCGCCCATGTCTCCTTCCAAAACTTCGAAATGAACTTCGGGTCCTTGTCGTTGACGATCGCTGACGGGATGCCGTGTATTCGCACAACAGTCGAGATGAACAGGATCGCAGTTTCTTCGGCTGTGATTGTCGTGCAGCATGGTGCGAAATGCACCATTTTCGTAAGGCGATCGACGACGACGAGCACTGCGTCGTTGCCGGACGGGCCAGCTAGCAGCCCCGTGAAAAAGTCCATCGTCACTTTGTTGCCACGGTTTTTCGGGTGGCTCCAGGGGTTGCGGCAATCCAGCTGGTCGCTGTCGCGTTGACTTAATGGCTTGGCACACCCTGCATGAGGACACGTATCGCTGCATGTCGTTAGAGGAATCCGGCCAGTAATATTGTCGGTGCAGCAGTTTCTAGGTTTTGTCAACCCCGAAATGTCCGGAGAGATTGGAATCGTGGACCTCCTGGATAAGGAGTTCACGCAGCAGTCGGTAAGCGGGAACCCAAATCCGGTCAGTTCCTACTTCTAGGTAATCATTCCCCTTCTGCGTCATCGCCTGCTGGTGATTCCCAGTCGTAAAGAACGGGTCCGTAGTGTAGCCGTGGGTGAATAGTCCCGTAAGTAGCGGGTTCGAATGGGTGATGAGTAGTGCAGCGGATTGAACAGTTGGTCGGGTAAGGGCGTCGGCGACGTTATTCACCCCTTTCTTGTACCTGATGCGGTAGGTGAAATGGCTCTCCATGT